CCCCCCCCCCCCGCCCAAGGAGACAGCCATGCTGCAGTCCCTTTTCCTCCTGGGATTTTGGACACGTGTGTACACATACCCTGCATGAATATGAAGTCACCAGGTCTGGGACTCGAACTGCATCTGACCATGTGGGAGTCCTGCACTTTAACCACCATGTCAACCACTGGCCCTGTTTTTTGTTTTTGTTTTATTTTTTTCTTTCCTTTTTTATCCTTCTTTTTTCTTTTTTTAAGAATGATTATTCATTAATTTTTAGAGAGATTTTTGCTATAGGGCGCATGCACTTTCTGGAGAGACAGAAAGCCAGAAATCACCGACCAGTGGGATGGCCATGCCACAACCCCTTTTCCTCCATTCTCCTCTCAAGAGGAGAACTCACACACATGTGCCTGGTGCGAGTTCCAAGTCGCTGGGTCCAGGACTTGAGAGGAAGACAGGGAGAGACAGTGAGAGGGAAAGTGAGAAATCACCCCCCAAGGAGACGGCCATGCCGCTGTCCCTTCTCCTCCAGTAGGCTACGTGGGAGTCCAGCGATGTAACCATTACGCCATTAACCGGTGTGAGTTTTACAGTCGCCAGTTCCAGAACTTCACATGGTCAGTGGGAGTCCAGTGACATAACCCTTATGCCATCTGCTGGTCCCAAGAATTATTTATTTTATTATTATTTTTCTAAAAATTTGCCATAGGGCATGTACACTCCCCAGACAGAGATAGAGAGAAGAGGAAAGTGAGAAAGTAAGCTGCCAGGAGCCCAGCAGTTGGCGTAATGGCTATGTCGCTGGACTCCCATGTAGTCGACCGTGGTTCGCGTCCCGAACCCGGTGGCTTAAAACTCACACCGGGCATGTGTGCATGCGTGCCCAAGATCCCGAGAGGAGAATGGAGGAGAAGGGATCGCAGCGTGACCATCCCCCCTGGGGGGTGATTTCTCGCTTTCTCTCTGTCTGTCTGGTGAGCGCACGCGCCCTAGAGCAAAAACCTCTCCAAAAAAAGAAAGCCAGCCGCCAGGTATGGGACTTGAGCCAGGTCAACCATGTAGAAGTCCAGGCCTCAACCACCACGCCACCTGCTGGCCCATTTTTACGTCTTTGGATTGTCCAATCCAGGGAGCACTAGAGGTTCCTTTTTGTTTGTTTTTCTTTTTTTGGCGAGAGGTTTTGTTTTTGTTTTTGTTTTTTGTTTTTTGCTATAGGGCACGTGCGCTCGCCAGACAGAGACTGAAAGTGAGAAATCACCCCCAGGGGGGTGGCCACATCACAATCCCTTCTCTTCCACTCTCTGTTTTGTTTTGTTTTGTTTTTTCTTTCTTTAATTTTGACCAGAGAGGGACAGAGCGAGAGTGAGAGAGAAGAGAAAGCAAGTTGCCAGGTCCAGGACTCGAGCCACGGTCGGCCATACGCTAACGAGACACAGAGACAGAGAGGGAGAAAGTGAGAAATCACTCCCCAGGCTGCACAGACACACCACGACCCCTCCTCTACTCTCCTCTCAGGATGTTGGGCATGTACATTCAGGTGCCCAGTATGAATTTCAAGCCCCTGGGTCTGGGACTTGAACCACGGTCAGCCACGTGGGAGTCCAGCGCCTTAAGCACTATGCCACCTGCTGGCCCTAAGGACCTTACATTGTATCTGTTGTCCTGTCTGAGTCTCTTAAGCAGTCCCCAGGGATCCTTCTGTCTCTTTGTGTCACCTCATGGTGTACTCGAGCACACATCCATGCACACATGGCCACCCGGCCTGGAGGATGTCCCTTGACGTGGCTGGCTCTGTCCTGCCTGGGCTGGCTTCCCTGACCCCCTCAGCCTTCTGGCCCACGGGCCTGGTTCCCTGCCCACATCCCGTTCCTCCCTCGCTGACCCTGCTCTGGAAAACCACCTGCATGTACCACGCTCATGCCTCCTGGCCAAGCCTGCATGTCTTCCCCCAGAAAACCTACCCAGTGCCCAGGAGAGAGCCAGTATCCCCTTCTAACCTTCCTTTCACGGTGGCTGCTGTCTATTGAGGGACCCGTCCTCTGGCCCTATGTCCTCGGTGGGTGAAGAGCTTCCCACAGGCGGGTCCCAGTCTGCTTTTTCCTTACATTCTCAACAATGACCCAGGGCGCAGGCTCAGGGCTGGAGATTTATGGCTTCAAACCATAAGTAAGACGGAGGCCTGAGAAGACCAGCCCGGCCTGTGAGTGGGGGCAGAGCAGGCCACCAGAGCCCTCTCCTCTGTCCCCAGGACAGCCAGTCACTGGTGGGAGGCCTCAGGCGTGGAGGCCCGGAGCCTGCTCAAACTCTATGGGATCCGCTTTGACATCCTGGTCACGGGGCAGGTAGGAGTGGGGCCCAGGGCAGGAGGGGGCAGATATTCAGTGCTGGAGGAGGCATGGGGTGACAGCCACAGCCCTAGAGACTCAGAACCCCCCTTCTCTCTCAGGCAGGGAAGTTTGGGCTCATCCCCATGGCCATCATGCTGGGCACCGGGGCGGCCTGGCTGGGCGTGGTGAGTCTGACCGGCATGGGCTTCCTGGGTGCAGGGAGTGCATGCCTGAACCCACTGTGGGGGGCGTGTAGGGTGGCAGGGGGGCGAGGGGGGGGGGCCAGGACATGGGTTGGCCCTGCCTCTCTAGATCACCCTCCTCTGTGACCTGCTGCTGTTGTACGTGGACAAAGAAGCCCATTTCTACTGGAAGACAAAGAACGAGGAGGTGAGCTGCAGACCGGGGGTCGGGGTCTAGGGGCCAAGGCTGCTCGCAGACACTGGGCTCTGCCACACAGGGGGACCGTGGGCCGGGCCCCTCACCTGCTGTCCTTGTCTGCAGGCAAAGGCCCTGAAGACAACCACTAGGCCCGTGTGGTCTGAGTTGGCGTTCACGCCCCTGAGCCCAGGTGCCTTAGCTGGGTCCAGCTCCAGCCCCGAGGAAACTCACACCCCGCCCGCCATTCCTGAGCTGTAGCTGTCACTGCCCGGTCCAGGGCCAGGAGGGTGGGGCTCATGCCTTGTCGATTTCAAGGAGGAAACCCTGGCAGGACCCAGGTGGGCTTGGAGGAAAATCTCATACTTGAATGCTCAGGGTCACTATTGCTGTCGGATTCCAGCCCGGGCAGAGTGCTGCGTGGGGAGCCACAGGGGCCGGTGAGGGTGAGCCCAGCTGTCTAGTGCCGGGCCACCCCGGGCAGGTCGACACTCATGAGATGGAGGGCAGGGTGGGCAGAGGATCCAACCCCCTGGGCCCCCAGCAAAGGGCATAACACCTCTCGGGCCCATACCTGTTGAACCTGAGGGCCAGCCATTTCCCTGCTGCGGCTCTCAGGCTACGGAGAGGTTGGTAGGGCTAACCTGGTGGTCATGGGGGCCTTTGGGGTCTCTATATAGGTCCTCGGGGACCCTGGGCCCCATCCCTGGACCCTGCTCCCTGGGAGCCCCACCCGGGGTGGGAAGATCATGCATGGGAACTTGTACAGTTTGAGTCACACCCAGGAACTCGCCAAGCACAATGCAGGAGCCCAGGCCCTGGCCCCCAGCAAAGCCGAGTGGCTGGGAGGAATGTTCCTTAAAGAGGATGCCAAGGTTCCCAGCAGCCTGGCTGGGTTCTGGAATCCTCCAGGGGAGTCTGTGATGCACCCATTGGAGAACTGTCCCAGGCCTGGGGACCCAAGGTCAGGATATGAGGATGGGGACGGTGGCAGCTCAACCCTCTCTTGGTCCCAGGTTGGGGAAGAAAAAGCTGACAACGGGCTGTCTGCTCATGGGTCCCGGGTGACCAGGGCCACAAGAGGAGGGCCAGGGCTGGGGCCGAGGCTGGGCCAGTACCTGGTATCATCTGAGATCCCCAGCGAAGGACTAGGGTGGGAGAGTGTGGCCCCCGAGGCCTGGCTGATGGAGGCAGCTCACATGTACCTGCTGGTCCTGGTGCTGCAGAGAGCCGAGGAGTAAAGCCTGCAAAGCCAGCAGCTTCCGCGTAGTCCTTGCAGGCAGGCAGGAAGGAAAGGGGTCTGCGTTTGCAGATGGTACAGCCGTGCGGGGAGCAGTGGGAAGATGTAGGGTGGGCCTGGGGCTTCCCAGGGATCCCCCCAAGGCCTGGCACTCCACCCTACCTGGTGTGCTGGACGGTAGTTGGAGCAGACCTAGCACCCCATGCACACGTGTGGACCATCCTGAGACTCCCAACGCAGAGCCCGGGAAGAACAGCCAGAGAAGAGAAAACTGCAGCAACCCAAACGCTGCCACTGGGGGCCCGAGCACGGAAACCTCCATTGCCGCAGTCTGTGTGTGGGTGCACCCTCAGGGCAGCCGGGGGGGGGGGCGGGGGAGGCCAGGGCTGAGGGGGTGGAAGCACATGCCTGAGGGAGCGTGTGTGCCCGTGTGGGTGTGTGTCTCTTTGTCTTCGAGTAAGCCTCAGGGAAACGCCAGTCTCTTTGGGAGCTCTGGGATGCTGAGGGGACCCTGGAGTCCACTGCCCTTTCTACGTGGCCTTCTTGGGGCCCAGGCTTTGCTCCTTAGCCAACCAACTTAC